TTTTAGCTGGGAAGCAAAACCACCACAGTTAGAAGAATCTCAGAGGCTCCTTCCTATTTTAATATTTCCCAGATATTTCAGTGTCTTAAAAATATATATATTTTTAAAAATATGTTTCAGTATTTTTAAGACTCAGAGAAATACAATATAATTCTCCCTTTAGCATTTAAGGCCAGAACATGTAAAGTAAATTTCCCTTGGCACTTACGAGCATTTCTAAAAACAAACAAAACGAAAAAGACCCTCATGCTAAACCTTAAACCTCCTATTTTGTGGGAACAGGGAGGTTGAGCTGCTGTGAATCACTGACACTATAAAGCATGTTCAAAACCCAGCAGTTTTCCACTGGCCCAGATGTGGAGCCAGAATTCTGCTCCATCCGGAGCTGTCGGCTCCTATTTTTTCCACAGTTATTTGTCTTCCATGGGACAGTTTCTATCTTCACCCTCGACTATGAAGTGAAAGCACTTATTTTTCCTGTGTAAAGGAGCAGCCTGGCTCCAACACTTCAGTGTGAGGGAAGTCTTTGTGCTTCAGCAAATAATCTCTCTTAAAATATAAATTAAAACAGAGCAACTAATAATTATTTATCAATGGTATTTACCCTGCGAAGCAAACTGAGCTAAAATCATCATTGCTTCCAAATTCCCCAAAATTCAGCTGCTAAACTTCCCTCCAGGATGAGGTTCCCATTCTTCTCTCAATTAGCAAAATAAGCAGCACTTTGATAAATACCATTATTTATTCAAAGTGATCAAAATCATTATGTAATCATTTTATTTTATTTTATTATTTTTTTAGGTCTCAGAGGCCGTAAAGCACAAACCCAGGGTGATTTATTTGGGGTGCTCTGAGTGGTGTGTCCTGTGCCAGCAGGCAGGGGAAATGCAGTCACATCTCACTGAATAATCACGAGGCTTTTGGTTTGGGTGGTGTCTTTTGAGGAATCAAGAGAGATAAACACGCTCAGCAGTGTCAGGGACTGAGGCCCAGGGGAAAACCCCCAGCTCAGTGTCCTGCTGAATCACCCCTGGGAGGGGACTCATCTGACTGAGCTCTGTGACACCAGCATGAATCACTCCCTGCCATCCCATGGCCAAAAAAGCCCTTCAGTGAGAGGTGTGGTTTAATTTAAAGAATATTTTTAAAAGCATATTCCACAAAGCAAATCAAGAAAGAAGATAGTGAAGCTGTGCTGCAGATAAAGCAGGGCACGAGTTCTCCCAGCCACAACCCAGGCCCTCCTGTCTGGCCAAAAGGAAAAACTTCCATAGTAAAAATAACTACACGTCTTTTTTTTTTCAAGATATGGCAAATAAGACACAGCATTCTGCATCCCCATTGATGTTTTAGGAGAAATAATGAGTGAACCTGAAAGTTTCAGCAAATAACATTCTTCCTGTGCCTCCTGGAGTCGGACGTTGTACATCAGAGCCAGGGCTGCAGAGAGCAGTTCACATGAAAACAGAGCTGGCCCTGCCTCCAAACATGAGGTTTGGAAGTTTCCTCTCTGCTTCCTGAGGACTTGGGGTACAATTAACTGCTTTATTTTCATTTTCACAAATCTGCTCTTACTGGAGTTTGAAAAGGGAAAGCTATTTCTGCAGTGCTGACGCTTGGAGAGAGGGGAGAAATTCCATTTTCAAACCAAAGCCCTTAATAGCACGTTTTCCAACCCCCAAAACGTTATTTGATTTTTTTTCTAGAATACAGATATCAGAAGAAAACAGACATTAATTGTGAAGCACATCCTAGAGAACAACAAACCCAGCAGCTTCCAGCAAAACAGATGGTGCTGAGGAATGTTCACTTTGTAGCTGTTCCACTTCCAGTGGTGCTCTCAGCTTCGTCAAAGCCTGACAATATAATTACTGTGATAAAAGGCAAGAAGTTTCTGTGAAAAGGCAGAAACACTGTCAAAACTGCAGGACTGATGACTGCTAAAAACAGACAAAGGAAGACCAGGTTTTCAGAATTTGGGGGGTGGGGTTTGCACCCCCCAAAGTGGGATTATCAAGAGTATAAACTGCAGGAAATCAACTGGGAAGTATGAATAGAGAAGAGACTGGGTGTGAAGAACGGATATCATTTCTGAAGTAAAAATACTGATAGAAGGGTTAATTCAGGTATCACAGTAATGTCCCAACTGGCCAGAAATGAGGAGCTGTGTGTGGAAGTCTTACAACAGCATTTGACCCACGGGGTCACTGCAAGTCAAAACTACAAGTTTCAGAGAAATGTTGACCAAAAAATAATGTCAAAGTGCAGAAGGAACACTCCTCATGATACTGCAATCCCCAGATTTGTTAGATTTATCACTCCTGGAAGAAACAGCACACAGAGGCAAATGCCAATAAGTGACAGGGTGACAAAAAACTCCTCCCCTTTCCTTTTTTCCTCCCTCGCTGCCAACTGCCTGCCTGCCCAATTTCATGGACAGAGGATGGAAACATATCCCAAGTTTCGACCCCCAGCAATCTGCCATCAGGTAGAGCTGCCCAGAACATCCCTTCGAGGCTTTTCCAACCTCACACTCGAAGGGAATGGCTCAGGAACTCCCACACAGGGTTTATTCCATGAGTTCTGCTCAGCACATGGAGGGATTCCTGGATGTTGGGCCCAAGTGAAATGCTGAAGGTGCTGAGTGACTAAAAACATGTCCCTGAACTGTCTTTAAACACACTGGGAAGTGGAAAACTTCAAGAGGTATCTGCAGGTACAGGCAGGGTCCAAAGAGAGAGTGTCAGGGTGGGAGGGGACAGTGTTTGAGGACACCTGAGGGAGGACAAACAGTCCTTCTTTGAGGTGTGAAACGTCCCGGCCAAATCAGAGGGCAAAGGAACAGCTGAAATGTGAGAAGTGCCTCGGAGAAGGAAAGTTTGTTCAATTACAGCACAAAAACAAACAGTGTCACAAAGCCAACAGCGTTGATAGAAAGGGCTCCTATCAGGGCTGGCACCCAGAGCCCAGGGCATGTGGGGAACCTTTCTTAAAACCGTGAATGCAAACACCAACTTTTATCAGAAATAGAGAACACAAGGACAAAGCTTGGCCAAGGTCACAGAAAAAAAAAAGATTTGCATTGCCCAAACTGGATCTGACTTCTAACAGCCAGGGAGGATTGCACTGTGTCCCAAAACACCAACCTGAAAACAAAATAACAAACAAAAAAAGGTACACGAAACCAACCAACGCCACCTATCAATATTTGGGTCAGAAAAAGGCAATTCACTTTTCTGAAGGAGCCACCTCCACTTTGCAGCCTACAAATAATCAATATTGCACATTCCTAGAGAGAAACTGTGCCCAGCTTCAGAGAGACCTCGGGGTGACCAGAACCTTCCTCGGGGAATCTCCAGCTGCCTCACACCTGCAGCCTCCCTGAGCCAGACCATGCATTGCCAGGACATTAACAGGGGTTTTTCTCCCCAAAAACCCATGTCTTGAAACTCATACACTCATACCAATTAAATATTCTGCAATTATATTCACACAAAAGAAACCAAGACCAAGATGAACTTCTGAGGAATGTCACTGGAGGGAATAGAGGGAATTAAAACTGAGCTGAATTTCCCTCATTTCCCTGTACTAAGGCAGTAAGAAAAGGAAACTTTCCACTCAGTCATTCAACCAAACCCTGGTTTCAGCTCTTCAGAGATTCCCTGGTGCAGAGCGACAAAACACAATTGAGTTTGGTTCTTATAACAAGTGTTTTTTGCTGTTTCCTGCACTTCAGACACACTGATAAAGTAAACAAAAACATCTGGACCTACTTCTTTGAGCTTCACTGAATCCAACCGCTCGCTGATTTCTGACTTCACAATCAAGAGTGTAAATATAATCAGACACAATTTCAAATGTTAATGCTTCAGTCTGGCCTTTCTGACCCCAGTTTCTAAGAGAACAGGGCTTCTGTGACTGCACTGCTGGTTTCCCCCCCCCAGTGAGCCTTCCAGTCCCATCCTGAGCTGCTCCCACCCTGTACTCCAATGTTTTCTAAACCACTTCACATCAGTAGTGGCCGAAGGAGAAAACAGGCCAAGTCACTGCTTCAGCCAGGGAAAAGGGAGGGAAAATTGAGCTCCCACTTATTTTGAGGGACAGGCCTCCCCCTGTCCAACAGCCTGGGTGTCCTGCTGGGAAACCTCTCTGCTCCAGACAAAGCTCCTCCTTAGGCCAACAACCAGCAGCTCCCATGGCAGCAGGGGTGTGGTGGGTTGGGATGGGCACTGGACTGGAGAGAAGGAATTCTACAGTGTGTAATGGACGCTGGATGTGCTGGAACAGGGCTGTGACACAGAGCAGAACTCCCAGGCTGCACTTCACTGCTCCCAGAATATCCTGTATTTCAGGATAATTAGGGATACGGACATTTTCAAATCAAGAACGTAGGAGCAGAAGAGATGGAGATGACTCCTGAAACAAGGCCAGAAAAGCAGGGAGAAAGATGTGAGTTGTGGGACAGAGCTATTTTCCCTCTTGAGCACCGTTTTTTTTGTGTTCAGCTCTCAGGGAAAAATGACTTTCACATTTCTCCATCTTTGCTGCAGAACAAGAACTCGAGAACATCTGGGCAGGTAATGGGTACATGGTATTTCCCTCTGAGCAGTTAATGATCCCTGCACTGCTGACAGGGCTGGGAGTCAAAGGTAACACCCCCAACGACAGAACACGGTGCCACTAATCCCATTCCCTCCTCTGAGACAAGTCCCGAACACAACCTCGGAATGACAAGCACTTGATGAAGTGACCCGACAGCATTTAAAACCAACCTTCCAAAATGGTGCCAGAGCAGTTTTTGTAGCCCAAGAAGGGATCTTAAAGGGATTTCTGCTGATTTTAAACACTTCAGGTTATTGGGGGGGGCCAAAATGACGGAGGGAAACGCGGCACCGGCAAAGTCACCGCATCCGTCCCCAGGCCACCAGGCCCCAGTCCAGCCTCAGGAACACTTGGCAGAGAAGAGAAATGAATGTGGTGATCACATTCCACACGCTTACCTCCCATCCAAAGTTTGTTTCCTTTAATGTGCTCCTCTGTCCTGTCATATAGGGTCCAAATCTTTCCCCAACTTCAATCTTCTTTTTGGCCCAAATCCCTAGCCCTGCCCCTGGGATCGAAGATTCTCTGAGTTCAAAATCTGGTGGGATTGGAATGTCATCAGGAATGTAGACGGGAGCTTCATAAGGTGAGCCCTCCTTGGGAGTGAAGTCCTCACTGGTGGGAAAGGGTGACGGAGGTCCCACGGGAATGGGGGACATTATACTGTCCTCTGTTTCCTCCTCTGCGCTTTCGCCCGCAAGGAGATCGGGGTCGGTCTCGTACATATTATTTACAATCTCGCTGTCACCTAAAAGGGGAAACAGCAGAACAAAACACACTGAAATACTCGGGTGAACATCAGTTAATCTCTTCTCGGGATGGAGTTTCCCCAAGCCGAGCTCCCACACCTGAAGGGTAAAGAGCCAAACCTCCCTCGGAGAGCTCAGGTGGGGCTGAGGGGAGAACACCCACCCTGCCTGCACGACAGGCAGTGCTGCTGAGGGCTGGGGTGGAGGGGAGTGCAACCTGACATGTTCTACAGGATCAGCCTTCCAGGAGTGCTTGTCTCTCAGTTTTGGAGAGAGGGAAGAAAACACAGAAGGAGGCCGAGGTTCCCTTTAACCATTTACTGCTTTAACTGGCTCAGTGTATTTTTAGAGGGGAAGAAAAAATAGAGAAATCAAGCTAAAGCCAAGCTAAGTTTGGCAAGAACTGTTTGCCTTGTATTTGTGCTTCTTGGGTTCAGTGTGTCCCACAACAGGAGCCGTGGCTGAGGTGACCTTCCAGCAAAGCACCTCTGCAGGGGTAACAAAAGCATCAGCAGTTTGTAACCTCAGAGTCTCAGAATGGTTTGGGTTGGAAGGGACCTTAAAGATCATCTCCTTCCACCCCTGCCATGGGCAGGGACACCTTCCACCAGCCCAGGTTGCTCTCAGCCCCATCCAACCTGGCCTTAGACACTCCCAGGGATGAGGCAGCCACAGCTTCTCTGGGCAACCTGTGCCAGGGTCTCCCCACCCTCCCAGGGAAGGATTTCCTCCTAAGACCCAAGCTAAACCTACTCTCTGTCAGTGTGAAGCCATTCCCCCTTGTCCTGGAGTGAAAACACTGGACACAGAGGGTAAAAAAGTTTGGGGATTTTTCCAAGAGAAGTCAATTGCTAAGCAAGGACATTCATATGGAATGAAAACGGGGCTTTTTCATCCAAAAAGGAAAAAAGGGGGGGGGAGCAAAACACAGGGAGGGGAAAAGAAAAACACATTTGTCATACAATACAAGTAGTTGAAGCATTTTTGGGAGCAGTTTTGCCATCTCTCAATTAAACATGAGGCAGCAGGACTGTGCACAGGAGCCCCCACTATGATAACAAGGCCAACAACCACCCCATTGTGGACCCTCCTGCACGGGAGGGACTCCCCCGGTGCTTATTAATGACTGACCCCTGATGTCATCGGGGGGAGCAGCACCCAACAAAACTCCCAGTTTTCACTGCAGCTCTGGCTGCCAAACAGGAACCATAGGGAAGAATAGCTGGAAAAGCATGGCTTGACTTAAGGTATATATAATTCATCCCTTCCATAACCTCAGAATGCACCTTCTGTCTGCGAGACACATCTCCTCCTCTGGTTTTTTTATGCCTAATAAAGATTTTCCTGAGTTCATGCCTAAGAAACCTGGTGGCAGACTTGACTAAAGAGGAGGATTTTGATTCCTTTGCCAACATTTTTTTACTCCAGCTTTGGAGGAATACAGAGAACTGCCTGCTACAGCTTACATGGGTTTCCTCTGCTAGAAAGTGCAGCCCTCCCTACTCAAACATGTCACCAGAGCTGAGCTTTCATGAGCATGAGACACTCCATCATCCTGAAAATACTTGTGGTTGCAGTAAATGTTTTCTCGCCCAGTATTAGCAAGTCAAATTATTTTCTCCTCTATGATTAGCCTCTTCTGCACTTAAGAAACAGGAATTCCAACTGAGTTGAAAAGCAAAACTAGGTTTACTGGAGCACGACCTGTGAAAATTTCCAAAGGATACAAGGAAAGTATAGAGACATCTCACTACTGAACACTGTAATTTCATTTCTTCTGTGGGACAGTCGGGGCAGTTCTGAATAAGTTTCAATTTACTCTGAAGCTGAACCCACATCTGACCGACCTCCTATTTCAAGAGAAATCACAAAACACAGGGAACCTGTTCCTTCTGCTAAACCCAGTAACCAGGCACTGGTAACAGGCAGGAAATGACAGTGAAAGAGAACATTTGTGGGTCATGATGGTTCTGACACCAGAGATGCCACGTGGCATCTGTGGGAGCAGAAGGACACAGAGGCAGGGGTGTGAATGTTGGGTTTGTCCCCACAGCCCAACACTGAGATAACAGAGGCCATTTCCTCTCCTCCTGGCACTTGTTGCCTGGTAGATGTGGATCCCCCCTGGTTACAACCTCCTTCCAGGGGGTTGCAGAGAGTGAGAAGGTCCCCCCTGAGCCTCCTTTTCCCCAAGCTGAACAACCCCAGCTCAAACACACAGGTGTGGTGCCTGATCTTCTCCACAGGGGCTGTTTATTCCAGGGATTTGGGGAAAATCCAGCAGCTGGGGTTCAGTTTTGATGACTGTTGGTTATTCTGCACTGCAGACTGCCCTCACTGCCCCTGTACTGTCTGTCACCCTCAGTGCCCCTCTCAGCTTTACTCCACATGGAACACAACTGGTTAAAAATAAAAAACGTATTAAAGAAAGCAGGGAACATCTTGTTTTTTGGGAACGACCCCCAGCTCTCCCGAGCTCCACCAAGAGTCAGCGCTGCCAGGGAGAGCTGGACGTGGGACGTGGCCACTCCCTGGTGACGACCACCCTGTCCTACATCTGCCCCTCTTCCAGCAGCAGGGATTGCAGGGCCCGGGAGTGTCTGCTGGTGTGAAAAGCGGGACAGAAATACAACTTGACCTTATTGTTACTGTCATGAAACTAAAATTAGTCCCTCAAAGCTCACCAGCAAAATGACTCCATAAAAAGGCCCATTGAAAGGTTGTTTCCACAGATAATCAGATATGGGCATATGCTGAAAATCTGTGTGACACCAATGAGGGTCTTGCAACAATGAGAGTGATGGTTTAGTGTTGGTGAGAGACCTCATGAATAATCTATTTAGCAGCTGTAATGAAAGGAAAAGAAAGTCTGATGTTAAAGGAAATTTGTGGTAAGTGGAATAATGTGTTAAGAGTTTGGGTGGGTTTCTGGTATGTTTTGTATTTGGTAATAATAATAATAATAATAATAATAATAATAATAATAATAATAATA